GCGTCATCCATCGCCCTAGGTACCGCAACGACAGGATCACCAGTCAGGATACCTACCCCCTGAGGCTGTGTTAAGCCGTCATTGATAGCCGGAGTGGCGCCGTTGAGAGCAACGGCATTGCCACCCGACTTTGTTAGCTGATGCAGACTCTTTGCTGCCTGCCGTGAGAGACATTTTATCAACTGTGATTCGTCGACATTATTGCTATCGTCGTCATCAAGAACGGCGACAGAAGAGACATTGATCAAAATCGAGCTTTCGCGAATCAATGTACTTGCTCGTCTACGGATGGCAGTGACAATGTCCGAGGCTTCCTCTTTACCTGGGTGAAGATGTTCATTCCGCAGGTTGAGAGTTGCGGAGGCCTTGTATGTCTGGAAGGAGCCCAAGCAATCCTGGAAATTCCCATAATACCGGGGCCCGAGGTTGTAGAAAACAGCTACCATGTCATCGCTATAAGCCTCGTCGAAAAGCATTCCATTGGCAAGAGACCATCGGGAAGTGGACACGCCTTTTCCGAGTCGCATTGCTAGATCTTGAGGGGTGCCAAAGAATGCCTGCACGCGCGATGGCTTGCTTGACTGATGACTTACAGGAACGGAAGGGTATTCGATCTTCAGTTGTTCAACAAACTCGCCGTCTATGAAAAGAGATGCGCGGGAAGAAGACATTGGTTTCGGTCTTTTTTGAACAACACAAATATGGTACCAGCGATTCGGCTCGAATTTTGCAGACTTGAACCGAACACTAGGACGGGAACCTCGAATCGAAGTTTGAAGAATAAAGTTCCGAGTATCCTTTTCGAGGTAGGCAAGAATAAAACATGCCTGGCTTGCATCAAACGCTCCAAAGATAGTAGTATGCGTGTTGGGATCGAACTCGTCAAAACGGGCCCAGGCTGCAAGAGTGTAGCCGGAGGAATTGATAGGAGGAAATGGCCGACCAAGTGTTGCGAACTCGACTGAACAGTATCCATGACGAGACATATCGAACTGTATTGATGGGGGCTCCTTAGAGGATTTAAGAGCAGACAATAGCACTTTTAGAACTTGTGGGTTGCCATGCGCTCCGCGGTATAAGAAGCCAGCATCGTCCATACTCATTCCCAGGACGCTGAGAGATTGAGTAAGATGTTGGTAAATCGCTTTCTCCTTGTCTGACCGTCTACCATCGAATAAAAGGGGTAGGATTGAGGTGAGCATATCAGTGGCATGCAAGGCTACGACATTCCTCCGAGACTGCGAAGCCAATTGGCAAAGACATGCGGGTAAGGCCAGGCGTAAGATGTCATATCCAGCCGACAAAGAGGAGTGCATCAACCACACACGAAGGAACGGTCCAAGTAGTTCCGGGACTTCCACTGTCTCGGCTGATCCAATGCAATGATCCACAGCATCCTGGACGTCTTCTGGGGAAGGAGAGTCCTTATCCTGCGGAAACTTGGTGCTCAGTGTTACAAAAATACCCGACACTGTCTCCTGGCATAGAGCTGCGGCCAAAATGGCGCCGTAGAGATGATGCGCGTCACCCTCAGTTGTGTCTATCTTTTTGACTAGCACAGCCAGAGTTCGCTCCAGAGCAGCAATACCTCCCCCTACTATCTTCCGAGCAAAATATCGCTTGTTTCCAAAATGGTCCTTCAAGCCCTCTGCCAATACCCCGAGGACATCTTTGAAGATATCCAACAGGCCTTTCCGTTCCTCCTTGGACCTGTGTACCGGATCGTAGAGCTCGGCTACCTGGTCCGCCAGTGCCAGCAGCGTTTGAAAGCCCTGGAGGTGTCGGAATGCATCTTTGGCGGTGCGTGGATGTGCATCATCTATGAAGGTGTGGCGGAGGCGGAGAAGAGATTCGGTCGTCGATAGAGCCTGAGGCAGAGTGATCGCGGTGCCTGCACCGACGCTCTTGAGCTGTTCAATGGTTGGGGCTAGCTCTTCGGCCAATCGATCGGTTGATTCGGAAGGGAAGGGAGGGTGGAGGGGAGCCGACGGAGCCATAGCCAAATCTTATCCACGTCCGCTCCGATGGCGTATGACCATCAGAGACCGTGAATGTTCAATATCGGGTACAACGGTCTGCATTGGTGTGTGACAGTGCTCGTGCCAAGATAGGAAGCCTGGCGGTTAGGAAAATTTGCTGCACTCGTCATCCGCAGAACCCCATGCCAGATATTCGGCGACCGCTGTAATTCGCTATCGGGGGAGGGGAGAGTTGGATATCAGGTGACTCGGTGCCCTTGGGGAACGGGGGCTGGACGGGGCTGGACACAGCCCTGTTATTGTATTGTAAAAACGGTAACCTTTCGAAATTACGGGCGATCACCGATAGGACGTGATAAGCGCGATAAGACGCAGCTATGAGCTATGTGGAGAAGCTTGGGAGTGGTGATCCTATGATGTGATGGCTTCTCCGCAGATTGGCCAAGTTGTATCCAATAATGGCACTTTCATGCAAGACAAAGGGGATTCGCCCAACCCTTTGAGTCATCCGAACACAAAGCACGCGACTTCGGAGGATGAGTTGCCTTGGAGAAACTGGGCCGTGCGAGGGGGGTTGCCTATAGCCTATAGCAGCATGATACTGCCAGGTACCCGGGGGGAAGATGACCATCTGCACTACCTTGCTATAGATACCGTATATTTACTTATTATAGTGGCCGGAAGATATCCAACCCACTTAAATCGTCCTTCATATGATGCTAAGTCTGATATAGATGCTATGGCAAGTCAAGTGGATGCTCCTGAGGTTCCCGAGACCACGGTGACCATACCATACCGTATCGGGTACCCCATTCTCAGATGTTCTCCACTAGATCGACAGCGACAGGTCATCCGCCGGCGTAACCGTATCGTATGTAATGCCCGCTTGCATCATCGATCCTCCGTCTCCTCCCTAGATAAGCCTGCCCTTCTCCTCATCTTCTCCTTCTCCTCTCCATCCAACCTATCCTTCACTCATCCTTTACCACCTACAACTATCGTTTCTCCATCACCTGTTCCTTCCGCCGTGTTTAATCTTTCACTTTGCCCATCATGAAAGGCTTCCTCAGCCTGACACTGCTCCCGTTGTTGGTAGCTGCCTCGCCCGTGCAAGTAGGCTCCATCCACAATGAGGCAGCTCCTATCCTCTCCTCCATGACTGCAAAGGATATCCCGGATTCCTACATCATTGTGTTCAAGGAGCATGTTGACCAAAGCACTGCGTCCGCTCACCAGAGCTGGTTGCAGGAGGTGCACACCGCTCATACCGGTCGGATGGAGCTGAAGAAGCGCTCCGTGTTCGATGCCGACTTGGAGGCTTTCATGGGCCTGAAGCACACTTTCCATGTTGCTGGATCACTCATGGGATATGCTGGTCACTTCCACGAGGATGTCATTGAGCAGATCCGCCGTCATCCTGATGTGAGTAATCCCATTCCCTCGCGGAAGTTCCCGAGTTCGGCGGCTAATATAACTCAAAACAGGTTGATTACATCGAGAAGGACTCTGAAGTCCGTACCATGACCGAGGGTACTGTTGAGAAGAACGCCCCCTGGGGTCTTGCCCGTATCTCTCACCGTGAGAGCCTCTCCTTCGGCAACTTCAACAAGTACTTGTATGCTGAGGAGGGTGGCGAGGGTGTCGATGCTTACGTTATTGATACTGGCACCAACATCAAGCACGTTGACTTCGAGGGCCGTGCTACCTGGGGCCAGACCATTCCCCAGGGTGATGCCGATGAGGATGGAAACGGTCACGGAACTCACTGCTCTGGTACTATCGCCGGCAAGAAGTTCGGTGTCGCCAAGAAGGCCAACGTCTACGCTGTCAAGGTTCTTCGCTCTAACGGCTCGGGTACTATGTCCGATGTCGTCAAGGGTGTTGAATGGGCGGCCGAGGCTCACATCAAGAAGTCCAAGAAGGGCGATAAGAAGTTCAAGGGCAGTGTTGCCAACATGTCTCTCGGCGGTGGTAGCTCTCGCACCCTGGATCTCGCTGTCAATGCCGCTGTTGACGCTGGTATTCACTTTGCCGTTGCTGCCGGTAACGACAACGCTGATGCCTGCAACTACTCCCCCGCTGCTGCTGAGAAGGCCGTCACTGTTGGCGCCTCCACTCTGGCTGATGAGCGTGCTTACTTCTCCAACTACGGCAAGTGCACTGACATCTTCGCTCCCGGTCTGAACATCCTCTCTACCTGGGTTGGCAGCGAGCATGCCACCAACACCATTTCCGGTACCTCCATGGCCTCCCCTCACATCGCCGGTCTGCTGGCCTACTACGTCTCCCTGGCACCCGCCAAGGACTCTGCCTTTGCCGTCGCCGATGTGACCCCTAAGCAGCTCAAGGCTGCTCTTATCAGCGTCGCCACCGAGGGCACACTCACTGACATTCCCTCCGACACCCCCAACGTAAGTTTCCCACCATATCTAGAAAAGCATGGATTAGGCTAACTCTATATTAGCTTCTGGCCTGGAACGGTGGTGGCTCCGCCAACTTCACTCAGATTCTTGCCAAGGGTGGCTACAAGGCCCACCAGGATGAGACCAGTGTTGAGGAGCGCATTGGCAGCATCATCGATAACGCCGAGAAGGCTTTCCACAAGGAGCTTGGCGCTATCTACAGCGAGATCAAGGATGCTGTCTCTGCATAGATTAGAACGTTGTTAGGGTTCTGTCTGCGACAAACCCAACAACTTGGGCATGGATGAATGGATTAACACAGGCGTACAACATATTTTCTTTGGTTTTATCTCGGTTTTTTGGATTCTCCAACACGAATCCGCGGGTTTATACCGCTATTACGCTCCTATACACAGATTGTTTTTGCTATTTTGCTATTTTGCTATTTTGTTGCTTCACGTAGCATACTTGTCTACAACCATAAGTTCGGACTGATATAGAATACGTGTTGATTTATCAAACCAATATTTGTCCGGCATTACACAGTGACACTGTAAGATAACTAACTAGGTTCATTAAACTCTTAGTAAGTATATGCAGGTACCAACATATAGTCAATCTACAGCACATCTTTGATTTGAGCCACGTCGGCCTGTTCTTTCAACGCCCAACACCACTGACTCGCCTTGTCAGTCCGCTCTTCTCCTAGAACCCCAACACACTGCTCAATGAACTTTGCTGTCAGCTGTTCATTGGTCATGGGGCGCTCCAAGCTACCCACGGCATAGTCGACATGCTTCTCGATGGTAGTCCCTCCCCTCACCTTCACAACGAGATGACACTCATCAGCCCGCAAACTCTCATCAGAAACCGCCCTGAACCGATCCCTCAGTGCCACAACCCGCGTATCAAGTACAACATCATCCTCATACTGCGCCGGCGTAGCCTTCCCTAATAACAACCCCACGGCGCCACCATGATAAACACTAAACTTCGCCTCCAGCCCATCCTTCGGCGCCGTCTTCCCCGTCAACTCCAGAACAAGCGGATGCACACTCGCAACAACCTCCTCAACATCCGCCGCATCAACCCCAACCCGCCCCAACTCCCCATGCAACCAAACACACCCGTCAATAACAGGATGAACCACAATCCCACAAGGAAACGGCTTAAACGCATTCCTCACAGTCTCCCAGCGCCCCCTACCCCCTAGCGCCGCAACCTCCTCCTCAATCCGATTCCCGCCGGCACAAACAACATTCGCCCACCCCCTCTTCGCCTCCAACGCCTGAACCGAACTCGTAAACCCCTCCCGCGCAAGCAAAGCGGCAAGCAACCCATTCTGCGCCGCTCGCCCGGGATGGAACGACTTCGCATGTGACCCAAACATCTCCCGGAGCCCGGTGACCTGCGTAGCAGCCAGACCAATCGCATGCGCGACCTGTTCCGCCGACAACGCAAGCAACTTCGCCACCGCCACCGCCGCACCAATCGACCCAGTCGTCGACGTGATATGCCACCCGACATCGTAGTGCGCCGGCCAAACGGCCAGGCCAACCTTACACTCGGCTTCGATACCGGCCACCAGAGCGGTTATAAACTCCGGTCCGGAAACGGGGCGCGGGAGCGTCGGGAGGATGGCGAGGAGGGCACATGCTACCGGCCCCGTTGGGTGGATGACTGTGTCCAGGTGGGTGTCATCGTAGTCGTGGACGTGCGAGGCGATTCCGTTGAAGAGGGCTGCGTGCATGGCGTCTGTGGAGGTGCTTGTGCCCGGGAGGTGGGAGGTTGGTGGGCCTGCGAAGGGGGATAGGGCTTTGCGGGCTGTGCTTGTTGCGATGTGTTGACTGCCGCCTACTATGCACCCGGCTATGTTGTAGAAGCTTCGGACGGCCGCGTCGATTACTTCCCCTGGGAGGTCGGGATAGGACAGGGAGACTGTCCAGGTGGCGAGGTTTTGGGTTGCCATCTTGGGATTGGTTGGGTTCAGTGGGTAAGTAGATATACCTAGATATGATATTTGGATAAGTTAGTTGTCATATATTGGAACCGTAAATGCTTGGGTTTATAGGTGGGGGCACTGTGGGGAGGCGGAGGAGAGTCCACTTTCGCTGGGCAAAGAAGATTTATGGCTTGGCTGAACTGAAGTAAGGACGTAGGTAGGGTGAAAGTGTGATAGAGATGTGATAGAGATTTAGAGTCGATCTTGATGTTAGAATTTGATTTGATTCGTTAAAATATCTGTGCAACATTAGGGTATTGCATGTTATCATAAACCATAAGACCCATAATGTTCGAAAATGATCCCGCTAAACGCCTATCGTATGAAAGATGACAAGGGCACGCCGAGAATGCTGAAAATGCTCAGAGAAGCAGACCTGAAATGGCTGATCATGCAACAATTCCCCAGACGAAAGACGCAGAAAGTTATCATCACACCTTCTTTGTCTCCGTGGAATCATCGTCGGCCGACTCATCCTCGTCCTCCTCCATATCACTGCCGCTGGACTGTTCCATGACGAGTTCATCCTCAGAGTCACTGCCACCGAACACGCCGCTGTCGGCATCGCTATCGGCCCAGAAGTCATCGTCTTCCTTCTCCACGGGCTCACGGACGGGAGTATCATGTGTTGGCATCTCGAAGCCGGCGGGAATATCGAGCTTAGACTTCTCGACATCGGCCTTGACAAGCTGGCGGTAGGCTTCTGGGTCTTTGCGGAGCAAGACGGCAGCGTCGACGTTCGCGGGGGAGGAAGTCTCGGCATCGTCAAGCAGAGAGATGATGGAGATCAGGACCGACTCGACGCGCTGAGCGGGAGACCAGCGCTCTGAGGCAAGCTCGCCGGACATTTCATCTTCGCCGGGCGCGTGGAGGATGGATATGCATAGTTTGCCATTGGTGTAGATGTTCGGGTGGTTGATGGGCTGCAGGAAGCGGAACTCTAATGGTAAGAAGAATCTCGTCAGTTATTTTGAAGATGAGAAGGAGGAGAGAAGGTGTCATACTTGGTGGGGCATACGGATAGTTGGAGGGGAATGACATTGCGGCTTTGAAGTAGCCGCCGTAGTACATCGAGTCCGGGTTGATCACGATCAGGGCAACATCCCAGTTGAAGATGTCGTCATCGTGCAACTACACAAAGTATGTCAATAACCTGCAAGTGTGGAAGTGTCAAAGGCGATTGTGAAGTGGTAAACTGACCTGAACGTTAACCCACTTCTCTTTGAGAAGGGTCTTGAATTCGTTCATGAGGATGCGCTCCGCCATGACGAGATAAGCGGGATCTGAAGAGTTGCACCTGGAGAGATTCCGCTCGTAATTGTGTGGGAGCAATCTACCTTATATAGCTATACGACGCCGAGGCAGCACCATGTGCCTTATGCAAATGGAGCAAATTGAAGTTAAAGCGGAATGAATTATAAAACCGTAGGCAATGCCGGGATCACGGGGAGGCGAGGCCGATGCTGATTAGATCAACGGATGCCTGAAATTTCAGTGGCAACCTGACTAAGAGGGGCGTTTATCCACTATGCCCGCCACCTCAGGTCTACGGAGTATACAATGTGGTAATTCCTATATCGATTCATAAGTCGAACTCTTAATGCTTGAATTCCTGATTCTCATACCTAAATTAATGCTTAACTGTCTTTGTTAGATGTTATATAGTTATTCTTGTCCACACTCTTAAGTAGTAATCTCTAAAAATAGACTCAGGAAATGAATATCGAAGTACTCCGTAGTTTAGAAAGGTGTGTAGAAAGTAAAAAATGGGGTTATGGGGTGTATAGTAATACTCATCTCTTTTTTAACTACAGAATAATTCGTGTATACTCCGTAGCAGTGATGTGATTGCCCTTGCAGGTGACCTTCCCGGGGTTGCTAAGTTCGCAACTTTGCTATCTTACCTCAACCCTCGATACACCCTCGCCTGATCCCTGCAAGGATATATCAAGATGTCGCATAACAGATTCATTCAATCCTTCACTCGGTTTCCCAAGGATATATTCCGCGTTAACTCAGGCACCTCCATCCGGCTCCGAGCTTGGCCAGGTCCACGACGACCACACGGCGTATTCGATCTTCTTACAACTGCAGGAAAAGTACAACCGAAGGCTCTCAACCCAGCCACTTATGAATGTAATTCATGATAGTCAAAACGATCAGCTCACGTCGCTAATCTATCTCAGTTCCTAATGGGGCTTCCATGCGCCCCAACTCTAGGACACAGCAGAACCTCGTTCGCACTGTCAAAGCCTGGGGTGGTCTCACTATTTACATATATGCTATTATGGCTGGTCTGTTTCTCTTGGGTCATTCGAAGACTTTCCCCCTACGCAGTATTGACTGAGCTGAACAGGAACCCATCTCCCTGACGACCTCATTCTTGTCCACGAATTTCGCGACCATTACTCTCTACAAGCCCGGAAGGAGATGACAGTCGAAGGTACTAATAATATGGTCTACTAATACAAGTACAAGTACTGACTTACAATGACATAAAGAACTGCAAGCGAAAATTGAAGCTCTTCTCGCTACGCACGGGCAGCGATTCACCAGGGAGGGATGGTTGCAGCGATACCCCAAGGCAACCGAGTGACTCTTCTCGAGAGGCCTTTTCCTATCAGATATCTCTGATCATGTTTAGTAAAGTACTGTATGATTTATGCTTTTTATCGCTTTGTATACATATAACAAGATTCAAAGAGACATGTCTCTAGGGGTAGGTAAGTAGTGATGTGATTGATTCGTCATCGAGCTCCCCTACTGTTCTACCAACGGTTCTGCTTCTCAGTTCAAGATAAAACCTGCTGACCTATTTAGTTTCGAATGGTTCATCATTCATGCTAAATACGCACCTAATGCAAAAGATCTCACGGCTGTTGAATGAGTCAGAATGACTATTACCTGGAGGGTGTAGACAGTAGCAAAGCCGCCGCCGAAGCTCATTATTTGTGTATACCTAAAGGTGAGCAACGCCCTTGTCAAAAGAAGAATAGCTGGCATGTAGCAAAGCCTCAACAAAACTCCGTTATCTCGATTCTGGTCGCGTTTTCAATCCAGACGCTTGGCTTAAGATGAACCCCTACCATGAGGCGTTTATGAGGAGGAGGAGGAGTGGATAAACCACTGATACATACTGAATTGTACGTATTTTGATTGAATACTTGGACATCTTCTATACATATTGTAGTGAGTTCGTTGTAACTCCATATAAAATCGATACCTTTTATAGTGGAGCACGATAAGCTGATTGAGACAGGTCAGATGAATACTTTGAGACATTGCAGGAATTATTGCCCCTCGGGCTCCCGAAGGAGTTAAGTCAATAATGGCATTGTGATAAAAACTCCGTATGCAGAAAATACTGTTAATTGGGTATAAGGTACCTCACTCCACCACCAAACCTTGGTGGTGGCTAATGTCACCCTTTACCGGAGTCCGTTCACCGTCCACCGCCGGTTTTGGAACATTTGGCATTTTCACTCTCTGATTCTTCCCCCGCCCCTAGATCCATATCTCAACACCCTCGTGAACATCTTCGGTGATTCTTGCTCGGCAGAATCTGAGTAGCCTTCCCCGCCTACTCTTTTGCCTCAACGGCACTCGGTCCCGGAACCCTTATCCCAGCGTCACTGTTCACCTCGACTTTGCAATGCTAGCCTTGTCCAGCATTTCAGTCAAGTCTTGTTGCTAAAGGGGTAGTTCACAATAACCGAATACCGGTCGCCTTTACCCATTCATCACTGTCGCCAGCTGAAAAGCTGTGTGATCGAGTCGCGCGAGGTCCGAGAGCTTCAGTTTCTGCGAGCTTCCCGGTCAACATGTTACCGCAATGTCAAGGCCCCGTCTGGGCCATTGACGACCTGTCTCGTTGCTTCCAGCGCAAGTGTGTCTACACCGATGGCAATTCCGATCGTTGAAATTTTATGCTGATCATGAGGTATCTTAATAGCGTTCTTCAGGTCATACTTCCCCTCACAGTCTGCGGCACTTCGCTGCTGGTGATCCTAATCCGCCTCGCTCATCGATATATCCTCACTCAAAAAGGTGTCGCTTACAAGGTTCTCCCGAACAATGACTCGGAAGATGAGGTCCCCAGTGCATCGCAGGAAAACGAGTCCGATACGATGTTGTTCCAAGCTGTACAACAAGAACAAGCTCAGATTGTCGAGGTCAATCGCCCGCGTGGAGAGATCACCGTTGTACTACTCGAGATCGCAGCTTTAATTGCTCAAGTTGGGGTCTATATCGCCGTTTTGTCGACTCACGGCTGGGGCCGACATGGAACCCTCCCCGCCGTGGCTGGGCTTGTGTCGTGGGCCTACATCCTTTTCTTGGTGCTGGTCCGTTTCCTCCTATCGACCATGGACCTTTCCTCTGCGCCGAGAATCTGGACCCATACAGCGATTCTGTACAGCTTCCAGTGGTTGTTCAACATCATGGTCTTCCGATCCGCCATTATCCACCCCGTGTCCCAGCAAGCCCTGATTTTCAGCAGCATTCAGTTCGCTCTGAGTACGGTGTTGCTGCTCATTGCGCTCACCACTCGCCGAGGCAATAAGCCAGTTCTGGTTGAACGCGAAGATGGCTTGGAGCCTCCAACATACCCCATGGCCAGTTTGTTATCTCTTGCGACATTTGCCTGGCTCGATCCTTTGGTCATGAAGGGTTATCGCCAACCCCTGGAGATTGAGGATGTTTGGAACCTGACCCCGTCTCAGAAGGCTGCGCACGTGCTTAGAGAATTCCGCAAGAGACAAATGAAAGGCTCTTTGGCATGGAAGCTCATCCGGTACTTTATGGGGACAATTCTAAAGCAGGGTGCCTGGACAGTCTTCGCCAATCTATTCGTTTTCATGCCTAGTCTACTCCTCAAGGCCATCCTCGAGTACGTCGAAGATCCTCGGTCGACCACACCCCGCGCGGCTTGGTTGTTCGCCATTCTGCTCTTCTGTTGCGCCGCGGTTCAGGGTGTCGCAGATGGACAGGCCTTATTTATTGGTCGTAAGATGGGCGTGAAAATCCGTGCGATCATTATTGGTGAAATTTATGCCAAGGCTCTTCGCCGCAAGGCAGGCGCTTCACTGGAGGTCAAGAAACCCGTAGAAGATCCAATCAAGAATAAGAAGAAAAAGCTCTTTTCCTTTGGTCGCAAGAAGCAGGCCGCCAATGGAAATGATGCCGAGGCTGGCAACAAGCCAGAGACAATTGCGGAGGAACCTACACAGGCCAATGTTGGCACAATTATCAACTTGATGGCGATCGATTCGTTCAAGGTGAGCGAGGTCGGTGCCTATCTCCACTTCTTGTGGGCTAGTGTGCCAGTGCAGATTACAATGGCGATTATTCTGCTCTACCACATCATGGGTTTCAGCTCATTTGCCGGTATCGCTTTGATGGCGCTCATGCTGCCTATCAACCTTGTTATCGCCCGCCAGTTCAACAAGGTCCAGAATCAGATTTTGAAGGGCACCGATGCCCGTATTCACGCCACTAACGAAGTCCTCCAAAACATCCGCATCATCAAGTACTTTGCTTGGGAGCAGCGGTTCCAAGACATTGTCGGCGAGAAGCGCAAGACCGAACTGAAAGCCCTGCGCAAGCGATACATCCTCTGGTCCTCCGCCGCAACCGTCTGGTACGGCACGCCTATTCTCATCACGTTCATGTCCTTCTTCTTGTATACTGTTGTCGAGAAAAAACAACTGACCCCTTCGATCGCTTTCCCTGCCTTGTCCATGTTCTCTTTGCTGCGGGTACCCTTGGACCAGCTCGCGGATATGGTGGCACACGTTCAGGAATGTAAGGTTTCTCTAGATCGTGTGGACAAGTACTTGAACGAGGAGGAAACAAGCAAATACGATCAGCTCCGTGATAGTACTGTCACAGGAACACCTGCCAGGATTGGTCTTGAAAAGGCAACGCTATCTTGGAACAGCTCCAGTGGGGATTCCCAAGATACCGAGGCTGATGCCGACTTGGAGGCTTTCCGTCTGATCAATGTCGACGTTGAATTCCTTGTCGGCAAGCTTAACATCATTGTTGGCCCGACTGGATCTGGAAAGACCTCCCTGCTCATGGCTTTGCTTGGAGAAATGAAACTTCTCGAGGGTCGTGTTCATCTTCCCGGTGGAATGCCCAACAGGGCAGATCTCCCAGTGGACCCTGAAACTGGTCTGGTTGACAGCATTGCTTACTGTGCCCAGGAAGCCTGGTTGGTCAACGACACTGTAAAGGAAAACATCATCTTCGCCTCTCCCTATGATGAACGTCGCTACCGTGCGGTGCTGAAGGCCTGCGCCCTGGAACGTGACCTCGCTATCCTTGATGCTGGTGATCAAACTCTTGTTGGCGAGAAGGGCATTAGTTTGTCTGGTGGCCAGAAGCAGCGAATCTCTCTTGCCCGCGCTATCTACAGCAGTGGCCGCCACTTGCTGCTAGATGACTGTCTCTCTGCTGTCGACTCTCATACCGCCAAGCACATCTTCCGCCAAGCTCTTACCGGCCCTCTGATGTTCAACCGCACATGTATTTTGGTAACCCATAACGTTGCTTTGACTGTCCCCCAATCGGATCACGTTGTGGTACTTGAGCACGGCAGAATTTCCGCCCAGGGCCGTCCCAACGATGTCGCCGCTACTGGTGCATTGGGCGATGAGTTCCTCAAGTCTCGACCCAATTCCCGACCCAGCTCTCGTGGACTCTCCCGTGCCCCATCGAACCATGAATCGGATGATGAAGATTTGAACGGCACTCCAAATGGAAAGGTAGAAGACAAGGCCAAACTCACTGAATCTAAGGCTACTGGTAGTGTCAAGTGGTCGACTGTCACCATGTACCTCCGTGCCATGGGCCCGTGGTACTATTGGGTTGGTGCTGTTGTTGTATTCGTCTTGCAGCAATTGGGTTCTGTTTCCACCAACATCTGGATCAGACAGTGGGCGAATTCTTACCATACGTCCAAGGATAGTGCCGAGGACGTCGGAAAGTACGCCGCCGCGGCCCATCTCAAACCCCCTACCTTCAGCATTGGAAGTGTTGGGCGCATGAGCAGCTGGGGTCTGCCCCAATTTGGCGCAAGCTCTTCCGGCAACTCTGATGGGGAGGTGAACGTGGCTTATTACCTGGGTGTCTATGCGCTCCTGGGATTCCTCTATATCGCAATCTCTTTGTCTCGGGAAGCTGTTCTGTTCTGGGGTTCGCTCCATGCATCATGGAAGATTCATGATCGCCTTCTCAGGGCAGTCATGCACGCAAAGTTCAGATTCTTTGACTCCACGCCTCTTGGTCAACTGATGAACCGGTTCTCCAAGGATGTTGAGTCTGTCGATCAGGAAGTCGCTCCTGTTGCTATCGGCATGCTCCACAGTCTGGCATCTGTGATTATGATTGTCATTCTGATTTCGTGGATCACGCCAGGATTCTTGATTGCCGGTGTGTTCATCACTTTGGTGTACACTGCCCTCGGTGCTGTTTATTTGAACTCTTCGCGAGACCTCAAGCGTCTGGAATCTGTCCAGCGCAGTCCCTTGTACCAGCAGTTCGGTGAGACCCTGAACGGTATCGTCACCATTCGTGCTTATGGTGATGGTCCTCGCTTCATGGTCGACAACCACCGCCGCATCAATGCCTACAACCGGCCACACATCTACCTCTGGGCTAGCAACCGCTGGCTCGCCCTCCGTGTTGATTGGACCGGTGCTCTAGTCTCGTTCTTCTCGGCTACCTTTGTGTTATTGAACGTTGGAACGATCGATGCTGGTGCTGCCGGTCTTTCCCTGACCTACGCCGTCACATTCACAGAGAATGTCCTTTGGCTTGTGCGTCTGTACTCCGAGGTCCAGCAAAACATGAACTCTGTCGAGCGTGTCAGAGAATACCTTAATGTGGACCAGGAAGCAGCTTCTGTCATCGAAGACTCACGACCTGCGTCTGATTGGCCCAGCCAAGGTGCGGTCGAGTTCATTAACTACACTACTCGGTACCGACCCGATCTGGACCCGGTTCTCAAGGACGTTTCGTTCTCTGTAAAGGCTGCCGAAAAGGTCGGCATTGTCGGTCGCACCGGTGCTGGCAAGAGTTCTCTCGCGCTGGCTCTCTTCCGCGGTCTCGAGGCCGAGAAGGGTCAGATCATCATTGACGGCGTTGACATCGGGTCAATCGGACTGCGGGACCTGCGCCAGTCAATCACCATTGTCCCCCAGGATCCGACCCTGTTCACCGGAACCCTCCGCAGCAACCTCGATCCCTTCGGTCTCTTCAGTGACGAACAGATTTTCACAGCTCTCCGTCGCGTGCACCTTATCGGTTCCAGCACCTCAGGCACCGCAACCCCCACAACCTCAAGCAGTCGCACCGCGACGGAAATCAACGGCAGCGGCGTGAACAGCAGCGCAGTGACAGTAGTCGATAATAAAAACGTCTTCCACAACCTGGACAGCCAAGTCTCGGAGTCCGGCTCCAACCTCTCCCAAGGCCAGCGCCAGCTCCTCTGCCTCGCCCGCGCCTTGCTCAAGAACCCCCGCGTCTTGATGATGGATGAAGCAACCGCATCCATCGACTACGCCACCGACGCCAAGATCCAAGAGACCCTCCGCGAATTGAGCAACAGCACAATCATCACAATCGCACACCGACTGCAGACCATCATCGACTACGACAAAGTCCTTGTCCTTGACCACGGCCGCGTTGTCGAGTACGACCACCCCTGGACCCTCATTAACAAAGAAGACGGCGTCTTCCGCGGCATGTGCGAGAACAGCGGCAACATGGACGTTCTTCTAGACGGAGCCCAACGCGCTTGGACGCAGAAGCGTCTTGTCGGTGATTGTTAAAGCACCGGCTCCCTTCTTCTTTCCTTTCCTTATCTATAGAATCTCTCGCGTACATATTCATTGTTACCCCCTACTTCATCTACTACCTGTTATTGGTCTTCCCCCCGCTCATTCCTCGGGGCGGGGATGCAAAAAAGAGAGCGAGAGAGACACAAATGTAATCATCATTTCCTGGCCGGGAGGCTTTATCATCATTATCATCTGTTCCAATGTTATCATGGTTCTGCTCTGGCTTCTTACTCTCGCACCGGTGTGGCGTCTTCGGTTGCTTTCTTGTCTTTTTTGTCCTCTTTTCTGCTTCGCGCATGTACCTGCTATCACATCATTTCCGAGTTCTTCTTGTAACCTTACGTCTATTCTTGGTGGCACATGTCGGAATTTATGTTTCTGGTAGAGAATGAAAATGCTTGCAATATTACTTGTGGTATACCATTACTACTATGGGCCATGTGCTAGGTAAGTTTGTAGTGTTTCCTTTTAGTGTAGCATTCATCCGAGTATTTGTATTAAGAACAAATATGTATTCATTTGACACAGGAGGCATGTAGGGATGAAAATCCCACCCTCAATCTGAACATGCCTGCCCATCTTCAACACCCAAGCTGCTTCTTCTTCGGCAAGTTCCAGATGCCATCTTCGATATCTCCTCGACTGGCATTCGCATTGCTCGGCGTATGCTCGTCGCGAGCTGGGACGGGAAAGGTGGTCGGATCACGAACATTCGAACGATCCGTCACGGAGGATTGCCCGAGTCATCCAGGATATACATCCGGCTCTGATCTCAGCGCTAGAATTGCCCCATCGGTCTCGGCGTATTTCAAATCGCATATCGGGGATAGGGTCGATTCGATTCAATGGAACGGGGCCTGGAGTCCCACCGTAATCAAACAAGCCTCCGACCGAGTGGAGAAAGGATAGAGCTCCCAAGGCTGGACGGGTAACCGCATAGCCTTGGTAGAATCAATCCCTCGCTTCTCTCCGTAGAGAAGCGAATAAAGAAAAAAAGAAAGTCTTTCAACATAAATATTAATCCGACAGTCACATGTCGCATTCTTCACTTCTTCGCGCGGATCCCCCGCAGTATCGTACAGAAACACACAACCGCAGCCGCGATAACGAAGAACCCAAATGGCGGCCAGTAGATCGGGTAATTGTATGATCCTAATGCGACCACGAAAGACTCCTTCACACGGGACTCGGACTTGGACTTGGATTGTCTCGGCTTTGGGTAGCTATTCGGTTGTGGTTTTGCCGTTGCATCCGTGCCGATCGCTGCATACGGATTCGGAAGTGATTTGTGAAGCTCCGTCTCCGTTTTATGCTCCTTTGATTGCGGGTCCGGGTTTGACGAGAGCACGAAGCCTGCTTCACGCATGGCTGTCTCCTTCAGCATGACTATGAGCTCATCTTGATCGGGGATGGTTTCTGGGAAGTAGTGGCGATTGTTTTGTGTAATGCCAGACAGAACGGATTTGAATGCGATTGAGTTTTCGTAGGGAGTAGGAAGAGCGAGGATTTGGATTGCGTGCATTAATATGACCAGCAGGGCCAGTTTGCGGGCCATCTTCTGATAGACCCGGTGATAACGTAGACGCGCGGTGGAAATTTGATAAGATCAACGCGCTTTTTCGTCTGGACAAGAGGATACGAGGTATACAGAAGAAGAAGAAGAGTAAGTGAGAAGGAAATGGGAACTAGTTAAGAGATAACAAGAACAAAGAGGAGCACGTGGATTCACACTCGGAAACGGAAACGGAGGTCCTCGCACACTTTATGGTACTTTTTAGTCCGGTTTAGTCTGCTTTAGCATCATTCTAGGCCCTTATCTTTCTCATTTTAAGGGTCTATCCGTCCAGCCGTGTATAGCGCTGTAATGCCAGCCAATAGATCATGGTCTAACGCACCCGTGGAACTTCCCCTCGTTGATAACTCTGCAAATTTTGCCGACCCGACAGCGGAGGTCATGAACTTCCTCATTATTCCTCCAATGACCTACGATAGACGGAGCACGGATTTACATTCTTGTCAAGGCTAAGCGCTAGTGGCGCAATAGTACAAGCTTCCCACCTGCGCCAAGACATACGCCAAGCCAAGATCCCGTTGTGCACGGCAGCTAACCACTGGCAATACCCTGCAGATAGGCTGCACACACGCTGTTTACCGATGATCAGGTCTGGAAGCATGATGCCGTACGCGATCAGTTTATGGTTTCACCGCCGACACGATCTATCTAGAGGTGCTTATCTCTAGGCTGAAGGATAGGGGGCGGTTACCAAGCTCATGCTACGTTAAGATATCTAGCCTTCGGGTGGTCTTTCGACTTATGCATAACCATTTCTAGTCCAAGCTACGTGAGCCGCCCGATATATGAGAACTTGTGCGATTTTGCATCCGTATTAATGGCCATCTTCCCGATCGGAAGAAGTTGACAGCCCAGACAAAATGCAGCAACGGAGCATTGGACGTTATCGACACGCCGATTATACTCGACGCCGCGACAATCATATAGATCGCCGTAGACATACACCTGTGATATTTGTATCAATCGGCCTATCAATGACCTGCCTTGTCCGCGATAGAGTATGATTGGGTGGTTGCACAGCACTTGATTTGGGGTATATATAGTTGGGGTACATAGGATACAGTTATCTATGTTGGGGTAGACATTTCTGATAATAGAGACGTGGAGATCCATCCATAGATCTTCGAATCAGTTTAACTATCCGATAGCTCTAGTTATCTTAGCGCTGATAGCTCCGTATATTGATTTGGGGTAATGTCATTTGATGGTTGACCACAACGGACCTCGGGATAAACTATTGACACGAGCAAATGCTATTCTCATTGATAGATTTTGTAGTCCAACTAAGAGGCTGTGATAATATACTGTTAATACCTCAGATGATATGTTCACTTCTCCAACATCGCACCAGCCTTAGCGGGCATCAAGGCCCCAGGCGGAGGAGCGTTCTTATTCTTGAAGTCGTCGCAAACCTGTTCCATTGTCACGAATTCAACACCCTCGTGCTTTTTGAAATGCTCAATAAGCCTATCGAATGTCAGCCCTACTCTGCACAAATTTATGATCACATCATACCTTTCATGCATCAGCAGCACGTGAGGTCTTCCCGACACATCCGGGTGGATAGTAATTGGGAAAATAAACTCATCGTACTCGCGGTAGAAGTAGTCAAAATGGTCGCGCCAGATATCCTCAATGTCCCGCGGGTTGACATAACCATGACTGTTGGGCGCGTCCTTGATGAACATCATCGGCGGTAGATCGTCAATATACCAGTTGGACGGGATCTCAACAAGCCCTGTTTCGGATCCATGCTCAAGAGGCTTCATCCACGTTTCAGCTTTCTGCTTGTAATCGATCTTAGTCCAGGTGTCGCCGGTTCGGAGGTAGTAAGCCTGGCAGTCCTCGTGGCTCATGCTGTGGTCGTACTCGATGCCGTAGTCAAGGAGGAGCTGGGCTCCTTCTTTGCTAGTTTCCCACCTATTGTATCTGATTAGCACCATTGCTAAATCTAAATTCAAGACTCGTACCAGGGTGCCACGCTTCCTCGAGGAGGCTTTCCAGCGAACTCGGTCAACATCCGGTATGTTTTGTCCAGCACGTCACGCTGCTGTTCTAGAGACATGTCCGTCGGGTTCTCGTGGGAATACCCGTGCAGGCCGATCTCGTGGCCCGCGTCCCGGACTGCGGCCATGTCCTCCGGGAAGGTCTCGAGGGAGTGGCCGGGGATGAACCATGTTGACTTGATATCGTATTTCTTGAACAGTTTCAACAATCGTTGGGTTCCAACTGTCCCTGCCCAGTATCCTAATTGATTGTTAGCGAGCAGAATATAGAAAAGAACATTGAAACCTACCCCGGCTGATGTCGTTTGTGGAATCCTCGCCACCATACGAGCCTAGCCAACCGGCTACAGCATCAACATCTACACCGTAGGTAATGAGAACTCGCTTTGGTGCCATTATTGAATGATTGTTCAAAATTGGGAGGGAAATTGCCAGGGGAGGTTGACTTTTAAACCGGACCAAAAGAAGGCGGGGAAGATAAGCCCCTCATCCCGGCATTCTCCAACTGACAGACAATTCCACTGCTGACTTGCTCATTTACGCGATGAGTTCCGTTTCTCGATTTACGACATTCCAAGGTTCCGTTATCGCTGCTCTTGTGAACTCCACGATGCCGAGATGTGCAATTAGAAGTCCAGTGAGATTGTATTTTGAGGATTTGACAGCTTTGTTATTTAACTTTTAACACCAAATTCTATATTTCTATATGAACGTCTTTTCCTCTAACGATTGATCGCACTAGAATATGAAATCAGGATGGTATTGTGGATTTCCTATTGAGCTTCCTCGAGGACGTTCGGTAGATTTAGGGTTGATGTTGTATCCAACGTGAAATCCATACACTACAAAGTAGACATGTACTGGTTTGTTAGAGTACTTTATAGTAGGACATTTGAAGAATGACAGTATGTACGGAGTAAGTAGGATGATGAAGTAACGAGCCACTATGTGACGTGACCACCTACCACAACCCCAGGAAACGTATTCAGGAGCTATTAGACCATTCCAATAGGATAAAACAGCGATAAACATCTGAATATGACATTAACAACTCCATGCCTCTATACTTCTGCCGAGCATCTCCAAATCTTCCCTTATCGCTTATCGCGGGCCGAACGTCCCGGCGGGCCCCGAGTTGGAGGAGTTGGGGTCGAATCTCCCATCTCGACATCCACTTGCTCAACCAGGGCCTTTTCTTCTCCAAACCAGTTCTCCATACCCCCTTCAATGTCTCCATCACCCCAGCCGCACAGGGGTGCCCGTGGAGCAAGGGCACGTATATGTATACACTGCGGTCGGAGTTTCCGGCGGACTGAACATTTGGAGCGACACATTCGCACCCGTAAGCAAAACCCGGGGAAATCCCCACAGCTAATGCTAACCCGGTAAAATAGACACCAAGGAGAAGCCGTTTATTTGCTTCTGTGGGGCGGCCTTTACTAGAAGGGATCTGTTAAAGCGTCATACGCGCATCTCACATCAAGATGGGCTGACTTCGCCGACGCCGCCCGAGCAAACCAAGGCGGATTTCCAGCCAACGCATCACCCTGCAGCTATCCCGCCGCAATATGATACACCAACTCGGCCCGTACCCGTCGAATCCCTTGCAGGGTCATCGGCTGTGCACCAATGGGCTGGGGCACAGAATACGCCTTATTTAGACCCGCATCAGGCCGGCATGCTTCCCGCTGCTACTGCAGGAGTCCCAAACCCAGCCATTGATCCCCATACGGGTATGGTGCATGATCCGGATATGCTTCAAGCTGCCCAGCTGCTTCTTCCAGGCGATTACCGACCTACAGGTACGTTGTTTTCTTGGTTGTTCAAGTATCCCTCCTAATGTTCTGTGCAATATGCAATATGCAATATCCTGGTCTTTCGCTTGACTGCCATTATAAGAAATCTATTAATCTGACACAAAATAGGACAACCGATGCCCTACTTGCCCGAAGATCTAAATCATTTCCAGGAATTCACACATTTCTTGGATTCGATTGGCTTGCCTGGGGAATGGGTTCCCAGTGAAGGTGAAACCTCTCAAACACAAGAGGTTAACCTGGAAGACGTAAGAGAAACGGGTCGACAGACCCAAGAGCATGAGCGGCCACGACGAAGTGGAGATGGTTCTCGAGGCGACTCACCATTCAGATCCTGGCTTCCATCTGTGCCCAGGGGCGACCAAAGCCTTGGAACCCTGTCTGATTCTGGTATATGACACCTTGTATTGCTATCACTCTGTAGATCACTGACAACATTCTAGAACCGCCCCCAAACGCGAAGAGACCACCGTCACGATTCAATGTCACCGAAGAGCAGCGGTTTCGTCTTGCAGCATCTCTCGAAGAATTTCGCCATGTGATTCCGGATTTCGCACTGCCATCTCGTCACACATTGACTCGGTATCTTACTTCCTATTTTGAAGGATTCCACCCACATCTTCCGTTTATCCATATCCCGACTTTCTATATCAATGAACGTGCCCCTGAGGTGGTTCTTGCTATCATGACGATCGGAGCCCAGTATAGATTTGAGCACCGCAACGCAGAAAGATTATTCCACGTTTCCAAGGCAGTTCTATTTGAACGAATGGCCAGAGAGCCCCATTTCCCAGCTAAGCCAGGGTACAATTCAGGCCCTCGAGTACCGCTGGGGATATCTCCTTATTCCACTTTTGGCGATCAATCCCTCACGCAACCGCAGGTAACAGCGGAAACTACTGCTGGTTGGAAGCAGATCGAAATTACCCGCTGTCTCCTTATTCTGATGGGCTACTCCACGTGGGAAAATGCCAGACTGGTACAAGAAGCATTCCACCTTCAGGGCTTGCTGGTTCGACATCTCCGTGAGGCTGGCTTGACAGAAGACACAACACGCTCTGACCCACGCGCACCCCTCGACTGGTACGAATGGGCGGACCAAGAATCGGCGCGACGCACAAAGTTGATTGCGTTCTGCTTTATCCATGTTCACAGTGTC